CGGAGTTAAACCACGACAACTGTGTAAATGTTCTGAAAGCAGAGAAACAGTTTATACAATTATATGGGCTAGGATATCTTAGTCCTGAGCATGTTAGCCTTAGCGGCAAATATTTGGCACTGCAAAAATAATAAAGACTAATGAAGCAGAAACATAATACAGGTGGGGCAGCACTTTATGAACCCACTCCTACAAGCTATTTAGTGGTTTCCATAGATGCTCAGTCCCTTTCATTATCCTTATTGGTGCTGACTACCTACCAATATGTTGTGCTAGAGTGTTTGGTTACCGAGTTGCAAAAGAAACTTGAGATAATATAAAGATGATGCCCATTCATAGCAGCAGTAGATGATTTCAGGAAAATTATAATATCCAAGTGAAAGGAACTCTGGATTCATCTCTTAACACTGTGGATAGAAGTCACGAGATCAAGAATATGACCCTTGCTTATCTCCTTGCTGCTAGTGGTATAATCCCTCGATCATATCAGAATAAATCTAAGTAACAGAATGCAACTGTCCTTTCTCATGGCTAATCCATCATGGAATACTCCCCTGAACAGCCATTTTTCCATGCAGGTTCACCAATGACAGAATCACCAATAACTTGGTGATAGTTCACCAACACAGATGATTATTTATTCAGCAAATGTAGTAATAGATCAATTAATTTTTTTTGCCACTAACAGCCATTTATGGGTGACAAACATTTTCCTCTGTATACAACAAACCATTGACCACATTTTCTCAGTGGTTATGCTTTGTTGCCTTTTATGTCAGTCAATGGTTAATGCAGTCTGAATAATCAGATTAGAAACATTTCTGATGCCTAGTGCCTTTATGAATTTTTGTTCAGAACAGCAAAAAGGCAGGAGATGTGTTATCCCATTTGATCATTTCAGCAGGTACTGAATCAATATATTTTTTTAAGCATTTTTATGGATTATTCTTTGAAGTACATTTGATTTGTGTGTTTCAGTTATACTCTTTATACTTGCAAGACCAATGAGTCTGATTTCTGGATTAATTAAAAATATTCTTTTTACTTTATTTTTAACAAGGTATGCATCACCTCCAGGGAACATATTACCATGTTTCAGGGTGATGTATTTATTACAAAAGCTGTCTGTGCAAATATGGGATGTTAGACTCAGAAAACTTCCAAAGGGACTGAGACAAACCAGGACAAAACCTCAACTTCAATATGAGTCAGCTAAATGCCAAGGCAGTCCCACAAAGCTTGGGCATCTGATTTCCCTTCTGGTAGAAAGTTAATTTTAGACTGATGTGTCAAATTAGTGCTTTAAGTGAGTTATATCCTGTGTAAGAAGAACCACATGACTCGTTATAAATCCATCTGAATGTTAAAAATTTGGCGTAAAAGAACAAAATTACAGGTGAATCCAGCTGGAGAGAATTTTACCTTTTATTATTTATATTACTGATAATAAGAGTAAGGATGCTAATAAAAATGAACTAATAATTAAAAGAGAAAACCAACAGAAAAATAAACCCCAACAAAATAATTCTGGCCAAGAGTCCCTTTGACAGTACTCCCACACAGCCCTGCAGCGCAATTCAATCCTGCTGAGCAAGTCAGCTGTGACACACTTCGCTTTTTGCATGCATAGGCAGAGTTATGGCCAGATCCTGGGCTGATGGAAATCAGCATGGCTCTGTTGACTTCAAAGGAGTTATTCAAATACGATTTTAAAAAATCCTCTCACATTTGTAACCTAATAAATACTCCAGGTTTACGAGAAATTCCAGAACACAATCTTTAGCACCTTAGCTCTAGTAGCAGCTTAAAAGTCAGTTACAATATTAAGGACTTGTTATTTTTCTGAATATAGGTTCATTTATAAGAGTAAAACATATCTCATGTAATTTATGTCTCAGTTTCGATGTTATGATTTAACCTGATGATCTCAAATGCAATAGTGTTCAAAGTTCTGAAGTTGACTCTCTATTGCTCCTCTTGGAACATTCAGTACGATTAAAAAATAACAATGACTTGAAACCATAGTTTGTGAAAACGCAGTTTCTGCAAAATGATGAAGAGAATATTGGAGCAGAAGGACCCAGCTCGGATAAGAGAACTGTGCATTTGAAGCACCATGTGCATGACCCAAATTTTCTGCATATTTAATACCACTCATGAATAGAGGTCGGATGTCTTATTTCAACCCACTGCAAAGTTCCTGGTAAGAAACAGATGTAAACAAGGAAGTTCACAGGCCCCTCCTGTCTCATTGCTACTCACCAGATATCTCCTCTAGGCACTGTTTGGCAGTCTTACTGAACGACAGATCCATTTTAGTAGGACTGGTGCTGGAGTCAGCAGGTGGTAAAGAGGTACTGTCATTTTCTGAGAGAGTTCTGAAATCAAGCAAGAAGATTGATTATTATTAGCTGTCATTCATGTATGAATGGAAATAAATGTTACTCGCAGCTCCATCTGGAATCATACCACTATATGGTGAAAATACCATGTATGTCAAATTCTCACTGTGTTGCTTTGACTCCGGCTACATAAATTCGCAAGCAACTAGGAACTCTCTCCATCTCTCTCTTCAAGAACAAGTCAAAGTTAATGCTGGGAAATTTCAAGGCATTTTGCTTCTTTACTTTTTCTCTGCAGAAGGTGTCAATCAGACACAGGCAGAATCCATTTAAATTGGTTAAGTCACATTCCTGCACATATATAACGGAAATGAAAACTTGTAATTGCTGAAATATTAAGTGAGAAAGGCCATGTGGGAAAAGAAGCTTATGCAAGGATGGAATGGAAATCTGGCCCAGATATTTAAATCTATGTGCAGCTTCTTTTGATAATGTCCCTTATATAACTCCAGGGAAATGGGATAATTAGAGTTTTTCCATTAACTTTCTAACAGATAGACCATATTTGCTATGATGGTATAGTTCTGTGGATGTCATTGATAAATTATAAGGGATACCATTTGCTGATTAGTTACTTGCTATTTCATAATGGTAAGTAGCAAGAAACATACAAGCACATGCATTATAGTACAAAATAGATCACTTAATTATTCTCTCTTCTTAAGGAACTGCTGTAGCATCTCGTTTACATAGGAGCTGTTGAACCACAATAGCAACCTGCACCCCATTTGTATACAGTAAAAGAATACATCTAAAGACATACTAGCCACTTTTCAAAATAACATGGAAAAAACTCTTCATTTACAGCATAAGTTTTTCCAGCTTTATTGACATGAACTGCACATCCAGTGTTTTGATTTTAAAGACTAGTGAAATACTTACATCCCAATTTTAAAATATTACAGTTATAGCACAGTCATCAAAATTCACCATTAAGCGTTTCCAATGACCAATTAAACTGTAAACATAAACATTTAACTGTGTGATGAATGTGTATTTTAGAAGTTTAACTGATTAAAACAGTAATTTATCTCTTAAAGGAATTTTATGGCACGTTATTTTATGAAATAAATTTCCAGTTAACATTTTTTCAGAGTGACTTACGGAATAGATTTGTTCAGCAATTGGTTGCAGTAACTGACAAGTACTATTGTGGTGGAATCCATTGATTAGAATAATTTACATGTGACGCTACTTACACAGAAATAGAAATTATGTCTGATATGATGCACTTTTTAACAATTTCTGTACATTAGGGATGATAGAAACAGACAACTGCCCTATAAAAAACTATTTTTGGTTCTCATCTACTATTTCTCTCTTTCACACCCTACTGGAAACACAAGCTCAGCACATGCTGCAAGGTTGCTATATCCTACTGACCTTGAAAGCCCTTTTACATTTGGTGCTTAAGAACAGTGTCCTAAGTAACAAAAAACCCACGCTATCACTCCCCAATGAACACATACCAGAATTCCACAGTTCCACCTGTTTTCCCATATTTTTTCAAATCATCAAAACAAATGAGAGAGATGTCTACATTCAGTGAAAGACACTTTTAGAGGCCATGAATGCCCACGAGTACTCCTGTCTGGGTTACTGCTGAAACTTAGTGCTGGATCAGACCAGGGCAAACTATCAGCACAAAAACACATCTCAGAAAAAGGCACTTAGAATAATAGTAAAGGTAATTGATGTTGTCTGCACTCTTCTCATTGAACCCATATCACAGAGCTTCCAGGGCTAGAGCCAGAGGGAGGCTGGAGTTAGAATCATAGAATCACAGAATGGTTTGGGTTGGAAGGGACCTTAAAGACCATCTAGTTCCAATCTCCCTGCCATGGGCAGGGACACCTTCCACTAGACCAGGTTGCTCAAAGCCACATCCAGTCTGGCCTTGAAGACATCCAGGGATGGGGCATCCACATCATCTCTGGGCAACCTGTTCCAGTGCCTCACCACCCTCTCTGTGAAGAATTTCTTCCTGATATCTAATCTAAAGCTCCCTGATTTCAATTTATACCCATTACCTCTTGTCCTATCACTACAGGCTCTCGTAAAAAGTCCTCTCCCAGTCCCCTTGTAGGCCCCCTTCAGATACTGGAAAGCTGCAATGAGGTCTCCTTGGAACCTCCTCTTCTCCAGGCTGAACAAGCCCAGTTCTCGCAGCCTTTCATCATAGGAGAGGTGCTCCAGCCCTCTGATCATCTTCGTGGCCCTCCTCTGGACTCGCTCCAAGTGGTCAATATCCTTCTGATATTGAGGGCTCCACAGCTGGACGCAGTACTCCAGGTGGGGTCTCAAGTGAAGTTAGTGGAGTTAGTGAAGAACAACACTGGAATAGAGTAGGTTGCTTTTGGTCTTGTATGAAGAGCACCCAGTTAGGTGGGTGCAGATCAAGTATTCCCAGCATTCTCCACAGAACGTATATGGAGTTTACTTCAGTCCACCTCTAGTTAGAAACAAAAAGGGATCCTTTTCACCTGTTCTCCTTCTGATCCTATGGCATCACAGTCCTGATCGTGCAATTGTTCAACCATCAGTCAGGACAGGGTGATGCAAACCTTTCCCTGAGTGCCCAAAAGCCTTACATATAAGCTACCTTCTAAGACAGGATAGAAAGGATCCTTTCCTCTTTATTTGGACAGTTATAATCAGGAAAGGATTAAATGGTCTGGACCCCCAGCAGACACCAATACCCAACATTTGCATTGATTCTTCATCTAGTGACTGAGGATAGGTAAACACAGAACTTCAGTGATCTGGACTTCCCTCTGGGAGTGACTGTTGGCTGTACAACCAATAGAGACATACAACACTCTCTATTGACTGTATGGGAACAAAAGGCCAGATGCTTATGTTAAAAGGACTGGATCTCCAAATTTTAGATTCTAATTTGTGGGATTAATTGCAGCACAAAGCCCATTTTTTCTGGGACATAAAATAACATTAGAAGCTAAGCCTTAGAGTAAAAACAATGAATAAAAAATATTATATAATGCTAATAATTTTGAAATGTTTGATTTAATTTGTAGAAAGGAAACCATGGAAACACAAACCAAATGTAAATATGATGCAGTTTTCTTAAATTTACAGGCAGCCTGAAATAACAGGTCTATGAAGCGCAAAATGTCCCTTTTATGTTACTTGAAACATGAAAGTTTAAATATAATATAAAATAAGTGTGATTTGCTATCAAAAGTAGCAAAGAAACTGCTGTACTGACTTCATTCAGCATTTTTATATTTAATTTGGTAAAAACATCAATGATTCTAATTATCTGAGGCAACAACAGAAATTCAACAGAAATTCTATGGATTTTGCAGCATTAAAGTTCTGCTTACTTAAGAAAACTGGTTATTTATTGTGGAAGTGAAGGGCCAAAAGGCACCTGCCCAGCCCTTGGACACCCATGATAGAGGCATCCCAAGGAGGAACCTAGGCCACTCATCAATAGCTCTTCTCCCACCAGATCTCCTTTGGGTTGCCAGCTGCCAGCACTTCTACAGCAGTGGTGCCTTTCGTTGTATGATGACCAAGGATGGGCCAAGGATGATCCCAGATGGGCTGAGAATAGTCTAGTGGTGAAAGATTTTTAAGCAAAACCATGTAAGAGCCTCAGATCTTGGTGATTAAGGAGGTCCAGGTATAGACTGGGTGCCTAAAACTTCTACTTGCTTTGCTGTGGGCCTGTCAGAGGGTGTGACACATGGGAAAAAGCATGTAGATGCCTCTTTACTTAGCTCAGCCGTACTAGTTTAAAAAAAAAAAAAGGTGAAATTGAGATATTTGTCTTCCTCTACACTTCTGGCTTTTAACTCTTTCTCTGGGCCATATTAATCCAATGAATGACTCAAGTGATCTCTGCAGGATGACAGCACAGATTAAGCTCCAGGCAAGCAAACAGCAAATTAAAAGATCTTCTCATTAACCTTACACATCAGCCTTAATGAATGGCCCTCTATCCTCTACCTATTCACAGTGCACTGCCTTACAAAAAAATTAAATCCTTGCATCTCTCTTGACATCAAGGAAAGCGAAAATTATTTCAGTTTAGTCAGAGCCACCCTGCTGACATTTCTCCCAGAGCTGTGCATCTGCCTCGCAGGTTACGGCAGGCAACTGTCAGGAAAACAAGACAATCTGTTTTCTGTTTTAATCATGGCAACCAGAGAATATATTTATCCCCAACCCACTGAGTTATAATATATTTGTAAAAGCATCAAACTCACTTAATGGGACAAACCCTCCTCTCAATCACACCTGCACAAGCTCATTCAGTTTGATTAAAATGAGCCTGTACAGGAGTAATTAAGAACAGAGTTTGGAACAGTACTTAGTAAGCTGTCTTTAATGCAGTCAGTCATTTCCTGTCTCTAACAAAACAGCCAACCTTTGATAAACACAGATAACATCAAAGATTTGTTTGGTTTTCACTCCACATTCCAAAAGATATCAGATGATTATGCTTTTTTTTTTTTCCCCCCAACAACTCTCTGAGGTGCAGCTGTCTTGAATGTGTATCACTGTCAGTGCAAGAGACTGGCAGGAGCACATCTGGAATACGAGCAGTTTGATCAGCTATGTTCAAGACATGTGAGTTAAATTGGGAACAGCTGCAGGGAAGGGCTACTAGGATGCTGATGGGCAAGAAGAAACCCTCCTGAAAGGAAAGAAAAAGACAGTTTGTTTTAGCCTTGCAAAAGAGAAGGAAGAGGATGGGATTATTCCCTCACATATTTAAAAAAAGTGATCAAAAAGAGGGAAAACAAGTTTTTAAGTTAAGGGGCAATATTAACACAGTAATAAATAGAAGTAATATCATCATGTCTGTTGTAAACAATTTCTAACAACGAGATGAGTGAGTTTCTGAAGGAACCTTCCCATTGGAGTGGTGGGGATTAACTAAGATAAAACTTAGTTGGTTTATGAAAGGGTTAATATGACTGCCAGTGACAGAAAACTGGACAGAATAT